CGCCGGCTGAAGGTGCTGCGGGTCGCTCCCCCGCCAGGAGCAGGCTTCGCCCTGCGAGTTACACCTTGGGCAGCGAATTGCCCCCGGTGGCTCCTCGTCCAGAAGCCGGGCTTCGAATAGTATGGCAACCCCCGGCACGGCTGCCCCTGCGCCAGCCGGGCGTGCGTCCTGCTTAAGGAGGCGATTTCTCAACGTGGACGCTTTGTGCGGGGGCGATAATCCATTCCCCGTGAACTGGTTCGGCTCTTAAACCTCGTCACGCCTTTTCCAGCTAGCGCGTGGACGGTGTTCACGTTTAAATAGCAGAGCTGCCAGCGGTGGTGTTCGTAGTCCTCGTGCTCGTTGTTGTATTTGTCTCTTTCTTCCAATGAGAAGCCAAAAAGGCCGGGCTAGCTCTCAGGTGGGTCCTGAGTGATGTCATAGCCTTGGAAACAGCCATGTATGAACAGTCCTAATTCCCAATCGCGGCCTTCTTTTGGCTGAGCCAGTGACTTGGTATCTGTGATCCCTTTGGATCTGGTGTTCTGCTTTTAGTCTGATGTATCCGTTAAACAAATATCCTGCTTTTCCGTTGCCCAGGGCCCGGTTTCTGATTGCACTGCTTCTCCTGATCTGATTTTTTTCATCTGTTGGTCAGCAAGTCTGGTCATTTCAGCTTTAGTTTTCCCTATCTTAATGTGGAGGCCTTTGCTCTAGCTGCGGCCCATCCTTCCAGTCCACATCTTGGTGGCTTGAAGATCTTTGACATGAAAAAGGATTTGGTGTCTCAAAGTTGATCCATCCATTCTGGACGATGGTCTCATCGTTTGCCCAATATTGGGCTGTTCTAGTATCTACTGTCATCCTATGCTGGAAACTTCCTTAATGGACCTCAGTATATCTTCTCTTCATCAGAAGAGGGCATTATGTATTCTGCATCCTTTAATCTTATCGGTTACCTTTATTTGCACAACCTATAGTCTCTTATTTCTCTCGCGCCGAGAATACTAAAACTTCATGCCCCGCTTTCAGTTCAAGTGTTATGTTTCTTATCTATGTCTCCTTTAAAACACTGGTTTCCCCTGCCATTCTAATACTCTTTCGCTGCTAGTGGACAGCAGCTTTGACCCACTCATCATCCTGAGATTGGTGCCAGTCTGTCATGTCTGTCCGCTCTGTAACTGGGAAGTAATGGGCTGGAGTATGGCCCGGTGTCCAGGAAGGGTGTTAGATACATGATTTGAAGACCAGAGACTTTCTGTCCCGAGAACTAGCCTTGATTTCAGATGAAATCGAGGAAAAGTAAAAATATTTGAAATGGGCATGGATGTCTTGGGTTGCCTGAAGTCTCTGTTTTCCTGACGCTTACAGAGATATGCGTGTAATGATAGTGCATCTCGCACTCTGAAAAGGTGTGAGCAGTCTAACTCTCAGCCAATTTTTTTCGAGCTGTGCTAGATTTAGAACCATAGAGACGTGGCTGTTGTTATGTATGCTTTTACCTTGCCCTACTGAAGCAAATGAATTTGGGTTGAAAGTCATACACTGAAAATGCCTTAGTACCTAGAAGAGGACCCTGAGCTTAGGAACTATTGAGTATCTAAAATTATTTTGTTACACCAGCGCAAGTACTGGTGGGAAATTAATTTATTTTAAATCCCCAAATCCTAAGCAATTGATTTACATCGGTGTTAATAATGCATCATTGCATATAACACAGCTGGTCCCAATTTTGCAAAAATGCTTAGGTGAGCTTTCCAGTTCTTGTCCCCTGCAGTAAGGACAAGCTGAGATCCACTTGTGTAGGCTAAATGCAGGATTAGGTTACAGCTTTCATTGTCTTGGGATTCTTAGGGTGAATGTACAAATAAAAATATTTTTTTTTCTGGCCTTAAAAATCTTTCGAAGAGTGTCTGCTTGGTATAGTGATGTTCTAAATGTTCGGTCTCAAATTAACGATGGATTACAGTAGTGACATATAATGTCATACAGCAGTGTGAGAGAAGCAGAACTGGTAAAAAGAAGTCAGAGAAGGAAAGTGTAGGTGACTTAATTTTTCTCAGTAAGTGTGTAATATTGTTTTGCTAATCACCTACATATTTAATCACGTGTTTAAGGTAAATTGAAGATTAGAAGCCTAATTAAGCTCTGTTAACTTTTCTCAGGTATTCTTAAGCAGGTTAAAGATTACATTAAAGAATGCAGCAAGTGCCAGGAAAAGCTAGATCGCTCTAGATCTCTGTCAGATCCTTCTGAAATGCTGGAGGAGCTAGGACTGGATACAAAATCTCATGAAGACGGTAATGAAACGGATGATGAATTGAGTAATATGGCATCAATTCCAGCTGCGTCCCCAAAGCCTGTGAAGAAGAAGCCAATAGCAAAGCATGAGCTTGTATTTGTAAGTACCGTTGTTTACATCTGAATGTATTTAAGATGTTTGTTAATGCATTTTTACTCGCATACTTATTTTACATTGTTGTGATAATCTTGTAATAATAAGACGATGTACGCTTTGCCAAAGGTATTCAATCTGGGGAAAGGGGTTACTGGTATATATGACACAAAATTAATTATAGTACGTCATCTTTGGAAAATAAAATCAGCCTGATACTATTTATACATATAGGACCCAAAGGAAAACGCATGGCAAAAGTATTAGTAGTGAAGTATCACATACAAGATTCTCATGGAGTCCATATCTGTTCCATAATAAATGATGCTATATTTCTATATAAAATTCTTGTTGATAACTGGGGGCTCGTATGCACGTAAAGGCTTTTGAATCTAGAAACCATTTCAGTCTGTAGCATTGAAAAATACAGTCAAAGAACTGTTTGAATATCCATGTCTTTCCATTTTTCTAGTTGTCTTTTTTAACTGTGTTTGGAGGGAGGGTAAAACTTGATGCGTTTAAAGAAAGAAAACAATAGTAAAGTTAAGCGGTGTATTATACAGGCTTGAACTGATTGTACAGTTGAAGAAAATAATTCTTTTCTGTGTTTCAGTGTGAATGCTTAAAAAGGCTCAGTCTAAATGTAATGAAGTTCTCATAATGTTGTTTATGACAGGTTGACAGTAAGGGCCTTGTGAAGCAGTCATCTTCCAAACATTGTCTGTCAGTCTTAAACCAACTGAATCAGCAGAGGCTTTCCAATCAGTTCTGTGATGTGACTCTGCTGATTGAAGGAGAGGAGTACAAAGCTCACAAATCTGTCTTGGCAGCCAACAGCGAGTACTTCCGAGAGCTCTTCATTGAAAAGGGAGCTGTCTCTAGTCATGAAGCTGTAGTGGATCTGTCAGGTGAATTGTTGTGGGTTTCAAAGCTAGAAATCATAATATCCTAAGTAAGGTGTACAGTATTTGCTTCAGTCTTTTTTGAGTGTTCAAGACAACCAAATATTTTATCTTACCTTTTTCTCTCTTTTAATCTAAAAGTATTTTGTGTGGATTTTAATGCTAAAGTGATCGCTCTGGTTTTGCATAATCTGATCTTCCATATTGAATGGACTATGGGATTTCATCTTAAAATTTCTGGGAAGCTTTGGATTGATTTTTACCTTGCTTAGGCGTGTTTTCTCCCGTATTAGTCAGAAACATTAAAAAAGGGAACATAATCAAATGCTTGAATACATCAGGAGGGGATGTTGACTTGCTTCTCAGAGAGCTGTTTAGTTGAACAAATGCTAAATTGTTTCTTATGTCTGTGAAACACTATTTTACATGTTTCTGCTTATTTCTGCTTATTTCTGAAACCTTCTGGTACCTTAAAGATAGGAGACAATCCTAAAATAAATGTTCTAAATATAGCTTTGTAGTGATGAAGAATACTGTACAGAATATGCGCCTACTGCGTTGCTTTCTCCTTAGTTTCTTAATTTTGTCTGTTTCTGCATGCACAGTAGACATTTCTAGTACGATGGCCCAAAAGGTCCCCCAAGTTAAATACTTGATTTATGATTTACAGAACTGTAGAAAACTATACCGAATGCTTATTTTTAAGCATGTCTGTCTATATATCCATATTTTTATTTTTTTCATTAGCCACTTCCTTGTCTTACTTTTCTACCACACCAGTTGTTACTTGAGTCCTGACTACTTTCTGAACATAGCAGGACCAGAAAGACATTGGTTAAATTAGAGTTAACCTGCTTCAAAAATGTTGTGGCTCTCCCAGCATCGTGAAACATTCTTCTAGAGAATTTTATTGTGAAACTACTGCAGTTCTACTTACTTAATGGGAAAGTTCTCTGAGCTTACTTCCACATAGAAAATATACAAGGAGGATGCTTTTGCGTAAATGACAGTTAATTGAGTCCCAGTGGAGGGGCTTCAGTGTTACTTGCAAGAGCGTTTTGCTCTAAGTTTCAGACTTAACCATAGCAAAGGTGAACTGTTGTATCCATCATGGGATATTTTGGTGTAATTTGGGGTCATCAGTGTTTGCTCTAATCTCTTGTTTTATTCCTGGTAGGGTTCTGCAAGTCCAGTTTCTTGCCTCTATTGGAATTTGCTTATACTTCAGAATTAACTTTTGACTTCTGTAGTATGGCAGAAGTGGCCATGCTTGCCCGGCATCTCTTCATGTCAGAGGTCATCGAAATCTGTGAAAATGTGCACAAACAGATGGAAGAGAAACAAATTACAGTGTACCAAAAGGGAGACGTTCAAACAGTAGAGTCAACGCAAAATTTAGCAGAGCAGCAGGCTGAAGGTGAGATGCAGCCTGTGGACGGTGCTGAGCAACCTGAGCTCGCAGCCAGTGAAGTGCCAGCTGTGAATGGAGCTCCTTCCTCTGCTGGGACGGAGGAGGCAGCAGCACCCCAGCCTGACCTCCTGCCCCCAGAGCCTGTGGAGGCCACTCCGGATGATATTTCAAAGCCTGTAGAGCAATGTGAAACAACTGAAAATTACATAAAGATGCAGCTGCTGGAGAGCATTTCAAATAGTGCTGTGTCTGTCATAGAGGCTGAGCCATCGGCTGTGGAAGCCATGGACACGCAAAGTCAAATGGAAACGGAGACAGATCAAAATGAAAGCGGTAAAGCAAATGCGGACACTGCTTCCGAAGACTCCTCAGAAACACTCAAGCAAAAACGTGGCAGGCCAAGTAAAGAGCAGAGCATTGCCGTTTCTCAACCGGAAAGCCTAGCTTCCAGCCAAGATGATACTTACAAAAGCAAGCTTCGCCAGCGTTCTGTTAGTGAAGGGGGATATATCAGATTGCATAAAGGAATTGAAAAAAAACTTCAAAACAGAAAGACAAATCCTAAATCTGCAATACAGCAGGTATTCTATCTGTCTTTAGGCCTGTTGTCGGTAATCATCCAGTGTTTTGAGACCAATCTGAAAAGACCATTTCCCAGTTCCAAGCACAGTCTGGCAAATGTTTTTCTTTTTTGAGCGATTAACATTACTGCAAACCAAAGTAACTTCTAAGATGTGACAGTTGTGCAAAAAAAACCCGTCAAAATTCCTTCCATATTGAAGGTCTTTAGCATGCTCAGTGACCTTAGTCCAGCTTGAGTATCTTCTCACAGCTTCTTATGGTTGGACAGAAGGTCCATCTTCTCCCTAAAATTCTTAATGATCTGGGAATTTAATTCTTAACTAGCATGTGTGTATGTCAGTCGTAGACAAATGCATTTATCTATTAGAGAAGTGAGACCCTACATTTGTTATGACTTGAAAACAGAGTATTGGGGGTGAAAAATTTGACATCGTATTGTAGATCTTAATGTGGGAGTCATAAGTCAGAATAGTGCAATCCTGCTCCCTTCAGATTAGAGTCAGTTAAAAAAAAAAAGGTTCAAAGGGCACTGGTATTAAAAACTAGCACTTGGACATACTAAAAGTTTAGTAACTGAACTAGTTGTTTCAATTTTTTTTTTTTTTTTTTAAATGAAGCAGCCTTCTTACTCTTTTTTTTTTCCTTTCCTCTTCTAGTGCCTACGGATAGCTGACATTCACCTTGCTGAGCATTAATACATCTGTTTTTGTGACAGAGTACACTTTGCCTTACTCATTGCGCGTTGGCTAAATCTTACAAAGAACTGTTAATTTCCAGAGGTGTTCTGTGAGACGTTTACATGCTAGAGCCACCAGTCTCACATACAGGGGGATAATTTGTTATCATTACAACAACCTCGTAGATAGAAATTGTAGCATTATTCTCTTTTTACAGATGGACAACTTAAAGCCCAGATGCTAAAACTAGCACAGTCAAAATATTTGAGCAACCTAATTATGATGGTTGGAGAATGACATGGTTTTGTTCTGTTTTGGGAGGGGGAATATTTACCTTCAGGAACAGCTCCTATTAACTTATTTTGCAGTTTTTAAATCTGGCCTCTTGACAGATGAGGTTTACAGACAGTGGCCACCCATGGGGAAAAAAAGAAATCGGTTTAGATAATTGCTCAGAGTAGGACTTGGGAATGGGTTTCTGCTTTCCTAACTTGTACCTTGTGGTTCCTCGGTAACTATCCCTTAGGTCCCACTTAGGGAGTTACTCAGGGCTGAATAGTTAGTTGTCTCTGAACTAGTAAGTAATGGTTTGCCTATAATTATAATCAGTGTATGGTTTTAAAACAAGACCAGTTTTTCACCCACCATGAGATCTGTAGTTTTGCAGTGAACCGGAAGGGGGTGACTTTTCTAGCAGCTGAGTAATTAGGTGGTTTTGTAATAACGCACAGAAACATCAGCTTTTAGTACTAACTTGCAGGGGAAGTATGAAATACAGTGTAGTAAAGTTCATTCAAGGGTTACGTTTTTCCAACTTAGGTTGCCATGAAGCTGGTACAAAGAGGGAAAAAAATGAAACAGCCTAAAAGAGAGACCATGGAGAATAATGAAGTAGAAGCTCAGCACAAATGCACTGAGTGTGGAATGGTGTTCCAGCGGCGCTATGCACTTATAATGCACACACTGAAACATGAAAGATGTAAAGATTATAAATGCCCAGTAAGTTGTTTTTGGTTTTTTTTTGGCCTGTAAACCTCCCTCTTTATGCAAATTAATTCACTGATGTCATTAGTAATTAGTTTTCTTGCCTTTTTTCGTACATGTATTTATTTTCCTTACAGGTTTCAGAGATGGATGCAGCCCTGATCTGAATGGGGTGGGGTAAAATGTGGTGTGGCCACACGGCCTGACAGCACTGTGTGACATGGGAGTACACTTGCTGCTCAAGACAGTGCTGGCGTGGGCTTTATTTTTAATCTTACCAGTAAATTTGCAGCTGTGTTTAGATTAGCCTGGAAGTTAGCCTCACTGGGAAGTCATCAGTGGCGCTGTCAGTAGCCACAAAATACAAAATTTACAACTATTAATTAACCTGAGATAAAATGCCTATTGGAGTCAGGTTATAGACCTAGCTAATCATATTTCTATACTTAAGACCTTTGCCTTTTTTTTTTTTTTTTTGAAATAATTTTTGAGTATTAAATGCACTGTAAAGTTGTACTATTTTCTTTCCCAGTTGTGTAAAAAAGAATTCCAGTATGGTGCCTCCCTGCGAGCCCATCTTGTCCGGCACACTCGGAAGACGGAAGTGAACACTGCAGCTGCTAGTGTAGAAGAGACAGGCGTGTCTTCGGTGAAAGGGAGAACTAAACGGGAATTTATATGCGATATATGTGGGAGAACTCTACCTAAGCTCTATTCACTCAGAATACATATGCTCAAACATACAGGCGTAAAACCACATGCATGCAAGGTAAAGAGAAAGTCCTTTTACTGTGTAATCAATTTAGTAATGTTTTCTTGATATTTTAGTGTTGATACTCTGTCCTAAAATTTAGGTTAATTTAGGTCACTGCAGAATGGGAAAAACTACTGTAACATTCCTGATGAAAATTTTTGTAGTCCAAGACTCAGAAAACTAGAATGAAGTTGAATCACGAAAGTTCATATTCCTCTGTCTAGAAGAATGTCTTCCCTTGAGTATTCTTTTTTAACAGACTAGTTCTGCTACTGGTGCGAAATCACAGGCTTGGCCATCCTGGTTCCCAAGAAATACTGGAGGTTTTGTTGTGTTTGAAGTTAAACACCTATTACATAATGAGTTTTATTTGTCCTATTCCACCGGATACGGATTTTTTTAGGTTTGTGGAAAGACCTTTACGTATAAGCATGGATTAAAAATGCACTTAGCTCTCCATGAAGTACAGAAACAGTTCAAGTGTGACTTGTGTGAAAAGTCTTTTGTCACAAAAAGAAGTCTCCAGGAACACATGAGCATTCATACAGGTAAGTGATGAGAAAGAGGATCCTTTTACTTTGGTTGGCTATTGTATACTGCTGAATTTTAACCTTGATCTTCAGTGTCAAAGGAACTGTTTAAAAAAACCAAATAGTAGTCTCTCCTTTTTCTTCTACGGGTCAGGCAGCTGAGATAGAGGTAAGTAGTCATTTTACATTTATTTTTCTGGGCTTATTTTACCATAGCTTAATGTTATTATGCAAATGTTCTATACAAGAACAGGGAATCATGGTTGGCCTGTTCCTAAGGGTTTTTTGTACATATTTATGCCTGTATCATGTCAATTCAACAAAGACAGGCAACAGGCTGGAATGTTCTGGAGCACTTGCACTTCCAGCCTGTCCTTTCAGAGGAAAACATGCTAAGATAAAGCTCTGAAAATCTCCATATATGTTTTATGAGACTTGCTGTCCTAATACTGAAATTTTATAAAATCTGTTATCTTGAAAGATCTTAGCATGTGAAAGATTACAATATAATAATTTTATATAAACAGGGTTTTAGAATTGTAGTGTGTTGAAATTGGCTGTTTCTTGTTTGCCAGGTTGGGGGGGTATAAAAAGTAAGAGACTGTTTCTGTTAAGAAAATTTGTTCCAGAAATTGAGGAATTGATGTTAGTATTCAACACTCCTAAACTGATGAATTGGAGCGAAAAACTTTTATTTTAAGGTGCTGTTCCACAAATTCAAGATGCAAGTCATTCGTAAGCAATGCTGCGTTGCTGGAGAAGTTGCATATTATATGAACACAGGCTACTGGGCAATTTTTTAGGCTGTTCACATTTCATGACTAATTAGTAGCTGCAATGTTGCACCTGGGTTTAAAAAGTGCAGTAATTTAGAGTTGCTACTCACCCCTCTGTGTATTATTACACTGGCACATATGAAATACACTTAAAAATTCCATCTGTGTGTAATTAAACCAACTTCTCTTTGTAGCACTGCTTTTACTACTTAAGATAAATTATATGAGAAGAAAAAAAACACTCTCACAAAGCACTCCAGAGATATGGAGGCCTGGCATAACAACATGTTTTGTTTTGGTTTTTTTCAGGAGAATCCAAGTATCTCTGCTCCATCTGTGGAAGATCTTTCCACAGGGCATCAGGACTCAGTAAACACATAAAGAAACACCAGCCAAAGCCTGAAGTTCGTGGATATCAGTGTACTCAGTAAGTTGGTTGTTGGTGGGTTTTTTTGGTAGGCTTTTTTTCTTAACATTAATGATCCTAGTAATTGTACAGATTAAAAGCAGCTCCTTGTTGTAGCATAAAGCTGTTCACTGGCCTGGAATAAGACTTTTAAAGCATGAGTGTAAAAAATGCCCTCTTATTAATACATGCATTAGAGAGCAAAAGCTGCTTTTTTAACTGTTACCTGCCTCTAGTTTCATACAACTGTTTTTTAATGAGTGTGTTTGCACATGTAGCTGTAATCAGTAGCTATGTGGTTTTAAAGCTCCCTTGTAAGGCAGATAGAAGAGTGGTAAGCTTGTCAGAGGAGAAGGGTATTCAACCTGTTCTTGCCCTCTTTTACTGTGATAGTTGATTTCAGTTTAATTTGAAAATTTCCTATACATTATGGACTTTAGCAGAAATGCTATTACTGCCTAGTGCATTAGCAGAACATGGATACTTTTTCCATGACCGTAGCAGACTATAGGAGAACCTTTCAAGTGACCTGCAAAAGCACAGAGTTTTCCAGTGAATTAGGTATTCAATTAAATTGCAGTAGCGTGTGAGAGTGTCAGAGGGTGGTGGTTGCTTGAGTTTTTTACTTCCCTAATGGCTTTTCCACATAAGCAGTCCTTGAGGGGAGAGCACCAAGTGCCAACCCCATTCAAGACCCTCAGGGGTCTTTGTGATACTTCTTGATGTGGATCTGCAAACTCAGGATCCCCGAGAGTCCCATCTGAGCTGGAGCTGTCAGTTTTTCCAGCCTAGGAGGAGGAGGTTTCTTGGGTGGCTTGGGGACCATCACCTTTTTATCTCTTTATCTCTTTTTTCTTTTTATTTTTCTTTTTATTTTTCTTTTTTTTCCTTTTTTTTTTTTTTTCTTTTCTCAAAAGCTCTTTTTCCTTTCCAGAATGCCCGTTCTTTGGGAAATTATTAAAAATTTTGTTCCTGTATGGCAGCTTTTTTTTCTTTTCAGTTTGCACTGGAGGTTGGGAATTCTGAGATTCCCTCACTCCAGAGGTTGATCAGCTGTAGAAGGTGAATCTTACACCTTTGCTTGCTGGCATTTCTCTAGTCATTCAGGTATATGGTGCTACGTGAGGAAGAGATGCAGGTGATCAGGCAAAGATGTCTGAAGAGCAGAATTTCTTTCAAAGGGAGAAAGCATGTCTTTGATTAGACTGACCTCTGTAGTTTTCATACCAAGAGGAGCTAGTGATTTGTAGTTTTATGCAGACCATACTATGACAAGGTATAAATGAAGGAAAAACTAGGAATTCACCTGGGTTTAGATGTATATAAACAGCAAGCTAAAGAATGAGTATCACTACTTTCAGATGCTTTCTTGTAGGATTCTGAATTGGGCTTTTAATTTCTAAATAACCACAGTTGAGCATTACAAACAGCAAATCCTGGTTAGCTTTGTATCAATAATTAATCCTCTTTGGTTGAGGGAAGAAACAGCTGTTACTATCCTCCTGAGTTCACATGGTATAATACAAATTTCTGATGTCTTCCACTTGGTTTGCCTTTGATTATTCCCCATAAAAATAACAGAAAGAATATAGTTACCTATAACCGAAATAGTGTTTCAAAGGTCCTCAAGTTGTGTTCCAGACTTTCAGATAAGCTGCCGTTCCTTTTAATTTTCCCTAGTTTGGAAAGGCATTGTGCTTCATATAGATATTGATGACACAATGGGTGTTGTCTTCTCAGAGTCTTTCATTGCCATTAAGTAGGGTTCCAGTGCCTTTGAAATCAGGATCACCAAGTTCTTTCTTGTATGGGTTGCTAAAACCTTTACTGTTACAGGTGTGAAAAGAGTTTCTATGAAGCTCGAGATCTTCGGCAGCATATGAATAAACATTTAGGTGTGAAGCCATTTCAGTGTCAGTTCTGTGGAAAATGTTACAGTTGGAAGAAGGACTGGTATTCTCACGTAAAGTCTCATTCTGTCACAGACCCTTATAGGTAAGAGGGAATTCCTTTAACAACTGACATGTACTAATCAATATGAGGTTATACAGATGCACAGCCCATCAGTAAGGAACCACCTAGTCTGTTGGTGAAGTACCAATTGGTTGATGTTGGCTGGGGCGTTGAGTATTTGAGAATTGAGGATTGATGACTTCAGATAGCGCAGTCCAACTGTTAATCTGCTGGCACAGTCCTGGCACTAATACATGTGAAGTTGTAAGAGGAGAAATATAATTGATGAAGTTAGAAATGCTTTGTATGTGATCTCACTTCTCTAGAATGGTAAGTGGGAGCTTTGTGACTGAACAAGAGAAAATGTAGCTCAGAAACAATAGAAACAATACTGTTTCTAATTATGGAACTGCTTGTCATATGAGACAGCATTCCCGTTAAACGTTGCCTACTATAATTGAAGTGCATTTTGGTTTAAAAGGCGTAACATAAGCACAGAATAATGGTTTCAATAGATTTCTCACTTAACGCGTTTTAGGTGTAATATCTGCGGTAAAGAATTTTATGAGAAAGCGTTGTACAGAAGACATGTAAAGAAAGCCACACATGGTAAAAAAGGAAGAGCAAAACAGAATTTGGAACGAGTTTGTGAGCATTGTGGAAGAAAATTCACACAACTCCGGGAATACAGGAGACACATGAACAATCACGAAGGTATGTAGAAAACAAGTAGTGGTGACATCCTTCAGCCCCTAAAAACATTATGGAGAAAAGGGGTAGTTGTTTCTCTGAGTCCGTGTATGTCCTGTGTTGCAAGGCGCATAGGTGGCTGTTGGGATCTTCCTAAAACTGCAGTCACACGCAGGGGCGGTGACAATTTGTCCTTCTCAGAACTTGAATGGAAGAGGAGCTTTTTTAGAAGTGATGAAAAGATGTATATCTGGCAAAGAATTAATGTATTAAAATGTTCTCCAGTTTGAAAGGTGCACACGGTTAACAAAATATTCTTCAAACAGGAGAGCGATTGGCCTGAACTTAAAAAAAAGACCACTGTTGGAAATGGGTCAGCTTCTTGATTCATAAAAAGCAGTGAATTATATGATGTTTGGGGAAAATATGAAAACATCTTATAATTTTTTTTAAAAAGTGCATTTTTACTTTAGATGCGAAGTATGATACTGACTTTTTGATTTTTTTTTTGAGTATTTGGTTGTCCAGCTGTGTTGGAAGTCTATATATACTCCTGTTTTGGGGCAAAATCCACTTTTTTGATGCATGTCTCCTTTATAGAGAGCTGTTATAAATAAATCTAAGAGCTGTCTGACTATTGAAATAGAGATTTTGTGTTTGTTTCTAAACAGAGGAAGTGTCCTGTGAATAGGTACCTAGCCTAAACCTACATACAGTAACTGGAAAACCCAGTATTGAAGTAGTGTTTGTCACCAGCCACACGCCCCATTAGACACTACAGACCACAGAACTCAGACGCTGTAAGGGAGAATCAGATCATAGGAACGTCAGGCACAGTATTTGAACATAGGCGGTGTGGCAGAGGAGGGAGAAAGCTGTAGATGGCGTTGTAAGTTAGCCAGAATAAGTGCTGGTTTGATGAGACCTATACAGTATGATTTACGGAAACAAAGTGTGACTTGGAACATAAGTGACAAATTCTATGAAGTCAAACATGCTTTCAGAAAGGCGTCACCGGCAAAAAAGCAATTAGCATTTTATGAAACGGTATGGACTTAAAATAGGGGAGGAACTGCACTGAAAGGAATTTTGAAAAGAAAAAAAAAGTTTCAAATGTTAGATTGGGCAGAGCACTTGTGGAAAATCTTACCGTTTAATGTATTAAGCTTGCATTATATTGTAGTACAGAAATGGTAAACGAGATCTCTCTCTGACGTGGAACAAGTTGCAGTATTTCTTTTGTTCTTTTATATACTGCTGTTCTCCCTGTCGCTTCTCGTCGTCGCTCATGCATATTTATGGACACTGAGGGTCCTCTTTTCCTTGCTTTCCCTTTGAGAACAGGTGTGAAGCCATTCGAATGTCTAACTTGCGGCGTAGCCTGGGCTGATGCACGTTCACTGAAGCGTCACGTGAGGACGCACACTGGGGAACGACCGTACGTCTGTCCGGTGTGCAACGAAGCTTACATAGATGCCCGGACGCTACGGAAGCACATGACCAAGTTTCATAGGGACTACGTACCCTGCAAAATTATGCTGGAAAAAGATACCCTTCAGTTTCATAACCAGGGGACGCAGGTGGAGCATGCCATCAGCATCTTAGCAGCAGACGTGCAGGAACAAGAAACGGAGATTAGCGTTGGTGGCGGCGAGATTGAGACTGTGGTAGTGACAGGAGAGACGCTTGAAGCCATCGAAGCAGTAGCAGCTACCGAGGAATGTACGTCGGTCTCTACTCTTTCTGACCAAAGCATCATGCAGGTGGTAAATTACGTATTGGCGCAACAGCAAGGACAGAAAATGGCTGAAGTGACGCAGGCCATTGAAACTGTAGAAGTAGAAGTGGCCCACGTTACAAAGACAGACTGAATGCAGAGCATATGAGAGAGCAAGAAGGGTGAGGTCTTGCGATCTGCCAGAGCTAAGTATTTAACTGGCTATCTGAGGCTTACAGCGATACCTATTTTCAAACAGTTAATCCCCAGTACTAAATGCCTTGGTGTCGAAATACTGCACCATGCATTATGGGGAAAAAGTTAAGATGGTTCAGCGTGGGCCAAGGCTTCGAAGGCTAAGAATTCTGCACTGGCCGTAACTGTAAAAAAAAAAACAAAAACAAACCCACAATGTTGGAATAGTAATGTTTTCTGTATCATGGAGTAAGTATCATGCTGTAACTTCTAAAAAACAAAAAGAAAAAAAAAATATGAAGAGGCTGCACTGAAAAGTAGAAATGCACAGCTATCGGAAGCATTTTTTCACTTTTTTTTACGTGCATTTCATCAAGTTTGTGAGCAAATTACCCGTACTGGACTCTGCCTGTTTACGCCCCAAGGCAAAGGGATGCCAGAATGCTTCGTGTGCTTCACGCGCCATACAGAAAGCGCGAGGCTTTTTTCTTTTGGGTAGGTGTACCGTCGGCAGTTGGTGAATCCCAGTTTTGAAGAACTTGGTTAAATTCCGGGTTGGTGGGTGACAGGTCCAAGGTTC